TGTGCTACGATAAACCTTTGATGTAACGTGTTCGACCTGCCTACATCTTATCAGTCCATATATGCACTTCATGACTTCGTTCAACATAAGTGTGTCTTGTGTAAGATGTCAGATCATGAGCATATTTTAGCATCATTAAACCGTCAGCTCAGAAGCACTTACAAATCTTCTGGTTTTGATAGAGAGCCAATTACCGTGTTTTTTATGTGATGAAATACTTTTACTTTACTGGGTTATTAAATGACATTATCGTTTATGGTGATAACTGTTAGGATCGCTTCGAGAAACACAATGAACCCTCCAGAGGCTCGAAGGGAACCGAATAACCTGATAGAGCCTTTTTTAATGTCAACGTGGCACGCTGCCATTGGACAGTAGCATAGCTCGCCTTCTTGCGGGTTGGCCGGATTATAATAATGTTATAGCCAATACTAATAATCATAAATGCCCATGTCTTTCTGTACATTTTTGTGTCTCACCTAATAATCACTCTCCTTGCTTCTTCCGTCTTTGGTTTTCGATTGTAGCGTTCTACACGTTCGATTACCGTTAGTTGTAAGTCGTATTCTGCCGTAGTCAACTAGAGGATGTGACAACAACTACATTTTTCTACTCAGTATCACTATTTTTGGGAAAGTAAAGAAAATTCATACGGAAATTTTACTGATCCTTAGGATATGATTCAGTCTGTATTTCGAAGGCATATCTGTCTTTAATTTTAATTAATGTAGCTTACGCAGTTCTAACAATCGAACATCTATCATAGTTGGTTTGTGATTTGGTTTATGATAGCAAATGAAATCATCTGAAAATTATACACATTCATGAACGTTGATCGCCTATCACAAATTACTACTGCATCAAAACAAGCATCTGTCTTGTTCTGCCGAATTATTTCAAAAGTCAATTCATCTCTACACAACTGTGCCTCACCATGTAAACTCTCCTTGTTTGTATGTCGCTCTAGTTTATTTAACTAGGTAGAAAATGAGTTTGGGACAAAGATGATCACATCCTACACAATTGTCGATATGTTCTCTGAAAGTGAACTGATTATTACTTAGTCCAGAAAATAAGCACAATATTCAATTACTTTGATATCCACAAACTCGCTCTTTCTCTCTAGTAGTCTATTGTGAATGTTTAAGATAATGGTAAACAAAACACTTCACTGATTAGAATATCGAGTTTATGTGCAATACAGATCTTTCAGTTCTATTTGTCTATCTTTTGAAATTCTAAAAGATTAGAATGCACTCCATCATAATCCAACGATCACTTAAACGAAATAGGTTAAGAAACATATCGACTGATTGAAATTCACTACTCACTACTCAATGAACAAAGCATTTTATGAAATAAATACATTTTAAAAGAACAGGTTAACATGTTTTCAATCTGGTTATAATAATAAATGATCACCATAAATGACATTAGACAATCCCATCTCATGATTATTCATTTGCACATATTATTAAGGAAATAATTGTGAAAGAAAGAAGTTAGCTCGATGTTAAAATATAAAACGCAAAATTAACAGGAAGACGTTTTTCCAAAAGAAATAAAACAGTTTTACAACATACAGACTCTATCTGCATGTATGTGTACATATCACAATAATGTAAAACAATGAATTTGTCCTTGTCTATCACCGGCAAGAATTTTCAATTGACTATCACCATCAAGAGTATAAAGTTGAGTGATTTCTGTCTCAACTGGATACATAGCAACCTTTAGAGAAAAAGTGATATTCATCATTGAAAAAATTGAACACATTCAATACAGTAACTTGAATTAATACATTTGACTATTGAAACAGGAAAATTAAGTGAAATAGAAAGTACGGCTGGTCATCACACATTCCATACATGTTGACTGACTTATAAACGTGACATCGATTCATGAAGTCACTTACACAATTAATCTGAAACAGGTTGATAGCTGCAGACTATATAGTTTGGGTTCGCGTGTTTATATTGACCAATGGTTGAAGATATTCGATATGGGTTAGAATCAGTCGCTATGGTCAAGATGCATTCACGTTTTCCTGACTTTAATTACAAAAACCGTCTTATACTTTTCTATACCGCGAACTTATTCATTCTCATTGACTGGTTGACTAAAAGATTTCAATAATAAAGAAAACCATCGTTGCAAAATAAAAGAGTGGGTAAAGTCGAACAATTTTGAGCATGAGACAATCTACTATTCACTGATAGTGTCGACTTGAAATCGTGAACAAATGAACATGAATTCAATAATCAAAACATATTGAATTCAATGTGAAATCCAAAGCTATTTTGTGCCCGATGATCTGACTCCATTTAGATTGTATGGATGTTTGTTATCGCCTTTTCTCGTGTATCATCGTCGACTTAAATCGCGTTATCCAATAACGAAATTAAATAAGTCGAATAACGAGAATTGACTTGAGAATACATATATTTCGTACATGAAGCGAATAAAACATAGCAAAGCAAAAATGACACGTATGGAAGATGGCTGGGAAGCCAACTCCATTTCAAGCCGGGCATTACTCAATGTTTATAGGCAGACAAAATAAACTACAGACATGTGATGAGTCATGGGACATGAGGTGTAAACACATATACGCTCATATGAACAAAAGTAGATCACCTTTATTTGTATTGATTATATTATAGTACTAATACTGAAATGTACCATCTGAACTCTGTTACAACTTGAAATCAACACAACCCATTAGTAGGGCTCAATTCTTAATGTAAACATCAACACTGGAATGCGGGTACATTCAGATGGCGAGTCCTGAAGATTTACACAAGACAAGCCTCTTCAGATTTACTAACTAAATACATCTCACATAGCAAATATACTCAGCACAATCTACTTGAATATATTAGGTCACTGAAAAGGTTTAATCTTTCATTGGCACATTACTATGTAAACAGGAGGAAATTATGTAGCCATAATGATGAGCAATGTAATTTAATCTGTCCTCAAAACTTCAGTCGATTATCAATTTCGAATATCTGAAACTTATGACTGAGAGCGTTTCAGGGTTGATCTCCAACCATTCAAACTTAATAAATGCCGATTGAATGACTTTATGAACACATGAGGCAGTTGTCCAACCACGAGAGTTTAAACTATACTAAAACAACATTTGTCCAGGTAACGAAAGTGATCAAAATTATCCCGTAGCTAATTCACATCGTCCATTGACATTAATCGAAAAAAATCAAATTTATAAATCATCGTTAGGTAATAACTGCTTAATCAAACAAGATGTTAACAGTAATAAAATGAATCAATGTTTATTGATGATTTGAAAAGTTAGAATTTTATCAACCAGAATAAATGTCTTCATCAGGATAACTACTGACTACATGCATCATTGATAAACAATGGGGATCTGGCTTAGATGTGAAGGCTCGGATTGTCAAAGCAATGGCAATATTCCTACGATTGAAGAACATCTGTAACTAAAAATAACTACTAACTCATTTTTATGCGTTCTCTCGAAATTATTGATAAGTAATATTGGATCACCGAGAAATCTGTGGACGAAAGCTATAGTTAGACAGGTCAATTATGGTCCAGATGGATGAGTCAGAACTGTTCGACTGAAGACAGCAACCGAAGAGATCAGCCGGGACATACGGAACCTGTGTCTACTGGAAGAGGCCGATTATTTGAGCACGACGGTAACGAAGTCTGGACGTGGTTTCCGCTTGGGGGATGTTAGTTATGTCCATAACTAACCAATAGAATCGTTGTTTAAGCACCCACCACGTTGATCTGGTCTGATGTGTCTGTAAACTATCCTTGTTGCATGTGACTTACCAATTGAAAGACATTATTACCCTATTATATTAGTGTGACTCATAATTTTATTCATTTCGATAAGACGCGCAATGCTGGTCGGTATGTTTGTGCGTTTCACTTAATAACTGTAATTTTCTTAATTATTGTACTGATCTGATTGTTTTTACGTTCAGAAACCGATAAAGTTTGAGGCCAAGTTGTCTGTGTTCTGACTATAGATTTCATATAGACTCTGTGATCGTCAGTATCGCGTTTACGGTTCCAATAGTATATCTGTAGGACAAATTAAATCCTACTTTTTTTAAACATCTAGATGGTCGACAGATCACATGTGCAATTTTCGACTGGATAATTACCTTTTTATTATTGTTGTATTTAGTATGCATCTGAGCGATCAGAGTCACTCCAATTAGTATGAATACTGACGATTTTCTGCACATACCGTAACCTTTGAGTAAAACCTGCCTTTGCACTTTACACATTTTCTCTTGTGTTCAAGTCTCTGTGTCGATTTAGTGCAAGGCTATTAGAAGCGGCTAGGTTATTTGATCGAGGCGTTCGGTGAAAAGACTTATCACATAGATACATTGATCTTCTACACATTCCCTTCAATCAACCAACATTTTAATATATACTGTGATTTAAAGTAACTTATTTCAGAGAGCAGTATGCAACAGATAACATACAGAAAATCTGTTGTCGTCCAATTATAGGTGGTAGATCAATGTTGTTTTATTTGTCTAAATTAGTGCTCCAGAAAATCGTCACTTTGTTTCGAGTTGTGTATATCTCACTATCACCTGTGTGTTGAGTTCTTTGACCTACAATCACTGATACTTGTAATGTGAATGTTTAACGGTAGTTGTCCTTTGTGTTTCTTTTTCATTCAGATTGTATTTGGCTGAATGTCATCTTATCAATTGTTGGAAAATTCTGATTTGTAATGAAAATGGTGATTTGGTGACAGATTTTACAGTGATTTTTTATGCCTAATATATTGTTTACGTTGTACAAATGTAAACATTGTTGATAATATGTCTGGTGTTGGCTCTCGATTTCTGTGGCGTATTTCTTCTTATTATTATTAATAATATTCTAATCCTTTAGTCAATATTTGTACGTTTTATTCAATCCGATGCAAAGTGTAGAACTACCGACATCATGGTGAATACTTTCTTTTCTCCTTGGAATAGCTTGATAATTCATCAATAAAAGTTACTGGATATTGTGCGAAGTTACTATCACCAACTGAAGACAATAGTTCAACATTGATCTATCTTATAATTGCAACATCAGATAATATTTTACGTGTTCTAGGATGTGCAATAAACAATCCAATCACAGTGGTGAATTCAAAACAGTGGAAACAGGTAAGACTGGTATGGAAAAAGCCAACTAGTAAATATGTTCATTTTGTGCATATAATCTTCACCTATCTGTACAAATGAATGAATGAATGAATGTTGTTGAATGTTGTTAGGCACAGTTAGTTATTTTGGTTAATTTGTCAGTTGACAATGCAATGAATCAATGTAACCCTATTGAAAATATGTAATTACTCATGTCCATGTTTGCCTACATAAGTTGAATTGAATATCTGGTTGTTTGCATGAGTTATTGATTATGTAATTCTAGAATTGTAGTTCTTCCATTAGTTCATGTTTACACAGTGATAACTAAACTGGTATTTTTCTAACTTCTCACTCTTGCTTTCTTTTCTTATTTGGTCTTTTTTTAAATAATGTGTTTCTGTGTTTGGTTGGTTTAACTTATTACCATTGTGTTTTGCAACAATTTCATCATGAAATAATGTGAGTTAGGGAACTTGGTGAAAACTATTGTGGTGGTGAGAAGTAGCAGTTTGTGCAATACTGAGGAGTTTTGTATGTGAAACAAAACTAGTACCTAGTGCTTGGTGATTTTGGGTAGTGTTTTTTGTATCGTCGTCATAACTTTTTTCAAACAATATTTCTCGAAGGAATATATTCACTTTGTGCAGTGACGATTCCGATCATACTGATGATTTTGCGACGAAATGAGCACGGTTTAATCGTGTTACTTACTTACTTGTTCCTGTTACGCCGCTCGTAAAGCGTCGGACACTCATCAGCATCCTCCATCCAACTCTGTCCTGGACAATCCTTCCCAGTTGTTTTCAGTTACTATCCATCCTTTTGATGTCTGATTTCTATTTCCGACGTTGGTGGTTCTACGGTTTTCCTCTTTTCCGTTTCCCTTCAGGATTCCAAGTTAGCGCTTTCCTTGTGATGCAGTTGGATAGGTTGTAGCGTCAGTTATTATGCCAAGCCCATATACCTTATTCGAGCTTTCGGACATCCCACTCTATTCATTTTACTTGAGCCATACATTGACCTTGTTATTTATTCGCTTATCAATCTAGACTGTTTTTATATGAGCGTATATGTGTGTGCCCTTCTTATCCTATTAATCACATGTCTGTAGCTTTATTTTGTCTGACTATAAATATTGAGTAACGCTTGACTAAAATGGAGTTGGCTTCCCAGCCATCTTCCCTACGCGTCATTTCACTTTGTTCTATTGCATTCACTTTACATACAAAATATATGTATTCAATGGCCATTCTCGTTAATTGACTTTTTAATTCGGTTATTGGCTAACGCGATTTAAGTCGACGATGATAAACGAGAATAAGCGATAGCAAACATTTATACGATCTTGGAGTCAGATTCACGAGCCACTAAAAGGTTCCGTAATCTATGTCCTATCCACTTCCAACGTCTTTTCCTAATTTCCTTTTCAGTTGGAAGCTTGTTTGCCCTCTCCCATAGTAGTAGGCTGTTGCTGATGGTATCCGACCAACAAACATTGAGTATCGTGCGTAGAAAATTGTTTATAAATACTTGTGGTAGTTGACCAAGTTTCAGCTCCATACAATCGCACAGTCTTGACGTTTTTATTGAAGATCCTGATTTTTATGTTGTCTCGTAGTTATTTTTAGTTACAGATGTTCTTCAATCGTAGGAATATTGCCATTGCTTTGACAATCCGAGCCTTCACATCTAAGCCAGATCCCCATTGTTTATCAATGATGCATGTAGTCAGTAGTTATCCTGATGAAGACATTTATTCTGGTTGATAAAATTCTAACTTTTCAAATCATCAATAAACATTGATTCATTTTATTACTGTTAACATCTTGTTTGATTAAGCAGTTATTACCTAACGATGATTTATAAATTTGATTTTTTTCGATTAATGTCAATGGACGATGTGAATTAGCTACGGGATAATTTTGATCACTTTCGTTACCTGGACAAATGTTGTTTTAGTATAGTTTAAACTCTCGTGGTTGGACAACTGCCTCATGTGTTCATAAAGTCATTCAATCGGCATTTATTAAGTTTGAATGGTTGGAGATCAACCCTGAAACGCTCTCAGTCATAAGTTTCAGATATTCGAAATTGATAATCGACTGAAGTTTTGAGGACAGATTAAATTACATTGCTCATCATTATGGCTACATAATTTCCTCCTGTTTACATAGTAATGTGCCAATGAAAGATTAAACCTTTTCAGTGACCTAATATATTCAAGTAGATTGTGCTGAGTATATTTGCTATGTGAGATGTATTTAGTTAGTAAATCTGAAGAGGCTTGTCTTGTGTAAATCTTCAGGACTCGCCATCTGAATGTACCCGCATTCCAGTGTTGATGTTTACATTAAGAATTGAGCCCTACTAATGGGTTGTGTTGATTTCAAGTTGTAACAGAGTTCAGATGGTACATTTCAGTATTAGTACTATAATATAATCAATACAAATAAAGGTGATCTACTTTTGTTCATATGAGCGTATATGTGTTTACACCTCATGTCCCATGACTCATCACATGTCTGTAGTTTATTTTGTCTGCCTATAAACATTGAGTAATGCCCGGCTTGAAATGGAGTTGGCTTCCCAGCCATCTTCCATACGTGTCATTTTTGCTTTGCTATGTTTTATTCGCTTCATGTACGAAATATATGTATTCTCAAGTCAATTCTCGTTATTCGACTTATTTAATTTCGTTATTGGATAACGCGATTTAAGTCGACGATGATACACGAGAAAAGGCGATAACAAACATCCATACAATCTAAATGGAGTCAGATCATCGGGCACAAAATAGCTTTGGATTTCACATTGAATTCAATATGTTTTGATTATTGAATTCATGTTCATTTGTTCACGATTTCAAGTCGACACTATCAGTGAATAGTAGATTGTCTCATGCTCAAAATTGTTCGACTTTACCCACTCTTTTATTTTGCAACGATGGTTTTCTTTATTATTGAAATCTTTTAGTCAACCAGTCAATGAGAATGAATAAGTTCGCGGTATAGAAAAGTATAAGACGGTTTTTGTAATTAAAGTCAGGAAAACGTGAATGCATCTTGACCATAGCGACTGATTCTAACCCATATCGAATATCTTCAACCATTGGTCAATATAAACACGCGAACCCAAACTATATAGTCTGCAGCTATCAACCTGTTTCAGATTAATTGTGTAAGTGACTTCATGAATCGATGTCACGTTTATAAGTCAGTCAACATGTATGGAATGTGTGATGACCAGCCGTACTTTCTATTTCACTTAATTTTCCTGTTTCAATAGTCAAATGTATTAATTCAAGTTACTGTATTGAATGTGTTCAATTTTTTCAATGATGAATATCACTTTTTCTCTAAAGGTTGCTATGTATCCAGTTGAGACAGAAATCACTCAACTTTATACTCTTGATGGTGATAGTCAATTGAAAATTCTTGCCGGTGATAGACAAGGACAAATTCATTGTTTTACATTATTGTGATATGTACACATACATGCAGATAGAGTCTGTATGTTGTAAAACTGTTTTATTTCTTTTGGAAAAACGTCTTCCTGTTAATTTTGCGTTTTATATTTTAACATCGAGCTAACTTCTTTCTTTCACAATTATTTCCTTAATAATATGTGCAAATGAATAATCATGAGATGGGATTGTCTAATGTCATTTATGGTGATCATTTATTATTATAACCAGATTGAAAACATGTTAACCTGTTCTTTTAAAATGTATTTATTTCATAAAATGCTTTGTTCATTGAGTAGTGAGTAGTGAATTTCAATCAGTCGATATGTTTCTTAACCTATTTCGTTTAAGTGATCGTTGGATTATGATGGAGTGCATTCTAATCTTTTAGAATTTCAAAAGATAGACAAATAGAACTGAAAGATCTGTATTGCACATAAACTCGATATTCTAATCAGTGAAGTGTTTTGTTTACCATTATCTTAAACATTCACAATAGACTACTAGAGAGAAAGAGCGAGTTTGTGGATATCAAAGTAATTGAATATTGTGCTTATTTTCTGGACTAAGTAATAATCAGTTCACTTTCAGAGAACATATCGACAATTGTGTAGGATGTGATCATCTTTGTCCCAAACTCATTTTCTACCTAGTTAAATAAACTAGAGCGACATACAAACAAGGAGAGTTTACATGGTGAGGCACAGTTGTGTAGAGATGAATTGACTTTTGAAATAATTCAGCAGAACAAGACAGATGCTTGTTTTGATGCAGTAGTAATTTGTGATAGGCGATCAACGTTCATGAATGTGTATAATTTTCAGATGATTTCATTTGCTATCATAAACCAAATCACAAACCAACTATGATAGATGTTCGATTGTTAGAACTGCGTAAGCTACATTAATTAAAATTAAAGACAGATATGCCTTCGAAATACAGACTGAATCATATCCTAAGGATCAGTAAAATTTCCGTATGAATTTTCTTTACTTTCCCAAAAATAGTGATACTGAGTAGAAAAATGTAGTTGTTGTCACATCCTCTAGTTGACTACGGCAGAATACGACTTACAACTAACGGTAATCGAACGTGTAGAACGCTACAATCGAAAACCAAAGACGGAAGAAGCAAGGAGAGTGATTATTAGGTGAGACACAAAAATGTACAGAAAGACATGGGCATTTATGATTATTAGTATTGGCTATAACATTATTATAATCCGGCCAACCCGCAAGAAGGCGAGCTATGCAACTGTCCAATGGCAGCGTGCCACGTTGACATTACAAAAGGCTCTATCAGGTTATTCGGTTCCCTTCGAGCCTCTGGAGGGTTCATTGTGTTTCTCGAAGCGATCCTAACAGTTATCACCATAAACGATAATGTCATTTAATAACCCAGTAAAGTAAAAGTATTTCATCACATAAAAAACACGGTAATTGGTGCTCTATCAAAACCAGAAGATTTGTAAGTGCTACTGAGCTGACGGTTTAATGATGCTAAAATATGCTCATGATCTGACATCTTACACAAGACACACTTATGTTGAACGAAGTCATGAAGTGCATATATGGACTGATAAGATGTAGGCAGGTCGAACACGTTACATCAAAAGTTTATCGTAGCACAAATTATCTTAAGTTTTCTGTTGAACACAGACGAGCGAAATAGACTATAAATGAAGAACATGTATCTGAAGGAAAATCAAATGACAGACGGTGACCACTTCAACTAACCACT